GCCCTTGAGAGTGTCCACAGCTCCTCCCAATATGGTGTCATCAGTGAACTTAGTCAGCAGTCCTTCAAGTCCTGTATCCAAGTCATTGATGAAGACATTAAAAAGCACCAGCCCCAGGATGGATCCCTGCAGGACCACACTAGTGACTGGTTGCCAGCCCAGTGTAACCTCATTGACTAGAACCCTCCGAGCCTGATCCATCAGCCAATTGCTCACCCATTGTATCATGTGTTTATTTTGTCCAGGAGGATACTATGAGAGATGGTATCAAAGGCTTTACTGAAGTCCAAAAAGATTGCATCGACTGGCTTCCCTTGGTCAGCTAGGCAGGCAACCTTATCACAGAAAGAGATTAGGTTTGTCAAGCAGGACTTTCCTCTCACAAACCCATGCTGGCTGGAACCAATGACTGCTTTGTCTTCCAGGTGTTTTTTGATAACTCCCAGGATAACCTTCTCCATAATTTTGCCAGGCACAGAAGTGAGACTTACAGGTCTGTAGTTAACAGGGTCTTCCCTCTTGCCCTTCTTGGCAAGATTGGGACAATATTTGCCAGCAAAATTATGTTAAGTCCTCCAATAGCAAGAGATACAAACTCCACTGTTGCTCATCTCACCTGCATCATTTAATTTGTCTTTCTTGTACATCCCCATGCTGTGCCTTATTTTTTCTCCTAGTTCAGTCTGAAGTGGTAGAGCAAACATGAACTTGCCCTTTCTGCTTCATAAAGAGAACTGCACCTCGCAATGACTCATAGCTGGGCCAACACTCAACCTTCTCTTGCACCTGCAAAGTTATCTTGGGAAAATGGTAAGAAAAAGTGTATTTCCCATCTGCCTTGGGAATCTAACTTATGCAAGATTCAGAGCACAAAGTACAAGGACTTTGGAGGCTCCTCTAATTCTCCTCATTCATGACTACAAGAATTCTAGATAAATACCTACAGTTAGATCCTGTGAATACCCCTAAGCCTAAAGCAGCCACATACTGAACCCCAACTGATCCAGCTGTACATACGGCTTGTTCTGAGGTGTTTAGGAGCTTGCTGATAAGCACACTCACATTCACAAAGGTCTTTCAGTGCTCAAAAAGTGAGGACTTAATACAAGTCATGATGTCTGTCTGAACACCACAGTTCCCAGGACAGCAAGTAGGAAGTGCTCAGTGTCATGGAAATTCAATGTCCACAGGAATCAATGGGGAAACACCTAAGGCAGGTGTCAAAAAAATCACAAAAGACAACCATTCTGAAATTTCATCTCTCTCATGGACTTAACTGCTGACATACAAGCCTAGAAAGGAGACTGCTCAAAACCAGGATTCAAGAGTCCTCTAAGAGGTCAATGACAGAACGGGCCCATTCCAAAACCACTGGTAACATGAACAAACGTGTAGACCTACACACTGCAGAAAATCTGTACCTAATCCTTGACTGCTCAGTGGTTTGTCCAGGCCAAAAAAAGTAACCCCAAACCATTTTAGGAAGCTGCTTGAATAAATATTAAGGGTCAGGCAAAAAGTAATGGTTTGGACTTACTCTCTGAAGTTCCCTTGGGTGCTACAGATGTGCATCTAATCTCAGGGACCATGTACATATACAACTGCCTGAGATTATAGTGTACTGGCTCTGTCACATAGTCTGCACTTAAAGAAACCTCGTAAGAGAAACTTCCCTCTATACTATAGCTTTCCTAAAGTAGTTACACTCAGTGTAAGGGTAGGAACTGATAGAGACCTGGTTTTATAAGGCAGTATCTAATCTACTTTGAAACAGGAGAAATGAAACTTTAATTAAATATAGTTATTTAACATTATTTTGCATTTGCACCCTCACTTACTGCACATAATTTTCCACTGCTGGCAAGCCTTTGTAATTCATAAACTATCTCACTGATGACAGAATAGTCAAATGTGTACAAACCTAGGGTTTTTTTTCTTTTTCTTTCTTTTTTTTTTTTTAATTTTCTGAACAGCTTTATAAATGTTGTCAGACAGAAATATAAAGGCAGTTCATACGGTTCCCTGAGCAGTTTATAATTCTGCAATCACCACTGCTTCCCCAGGTTTTTGTATTGGGATTATTTTTAAATTGTACTTAAATCATTGGCATCTCCATACAATTCTCAGAAAGTGATTTGGCATTTCTTAAATTCTTTTGAGAACTCTCAGTTCTACAGCCACAGATCAATGTTGTTGCTTGAACAAGTAAACTCAATGCATACGTGTCTAATCCTGTCCTCTTAAGTGTCTGATTTACAATGTGGCTAATTGCATTTTTAGATTCCAAACACTCCTGGCACCAATTTCTGCTACTCCACAAAAGGAGCCAGTTTCATAATTATTCTGTATCAACCCCATTGTTGGGAAATCAAATTCTCAAGGAACTTTATGGATAGCACGCTCTGTCAAGGCACTCTTGTTCAAATTGCTGCCAGCATGATGTCTTTCACTGTTAGTTGTTCCTTGATGGAATTTAATAAATATTCATTGGCAGAGTGCAGTGTAATTGATTAAACCACTTTCATTTTTTATCAGCCCTGCAGGAAGCCACAGCCTCTGCAGAAAATCTCCAAGATTTGCCAAAGGTTGACAGTAAGAAGCTTTGGAGATTCACTTGATGAAGAGAAGGGAGAGAAATAGTATCTCTTATTGCCATGGCTAATACTCACTGTCAAGAGAAAAAAAGCAATATGGCTCTTTGGATGAGCAATGTGCCTTATATAACACACTTTAAAAATTCATAAATTCATGAAGTGTAACATTAAATGAAATGTTGTGATATCAAAAAGGTTTATGATTAGAGACTATAAATTTATAGTGAAAAATACTTTCCAATAAAAATTAGGATACATTACATTAATATTTATTTCTATTTATTATACAGAAGATTTTCCACTACTCATAAATAGTGATTTACATTTACTTTTAGTATTCAGCACCCTAGGCACTAGAAGCCCAATCCCTTTGAACTCTTCACAAAGGCTTTTAACTCCCCCTACAGTATCCACACCTACACTGTGCTACGTTTAGTACTACTGGAAGTCTATGTTTAAGCAACATCCCACTTCTGCAGTCTTGATCATTAAATCAGACCTTGTATGCTAGCTTTTTTGAAGAAAGAGTCAAAGTTGACTTTACCTCTAATACACACATCTAATACATCTTCATTAAAAATGTGTCAAACTGCAATATGTATTAATATCAAAATGCAATATGTATTGAACATTTTCTGCATAAAAGTACAGAATTTTCTGATAGGGCTACATATATGTAGCCTTCTAGAATCATTTGCATTTCATCTTATTGTTTCTTTCAGTTACCTTTCATATATGCTTCATCTTTGGAGGTCATTTAGGTAACAGCTCTACTGCTTGAATACAATTACCCTTTAGCATACCCAACACCTCACTTATTTTCCATCTAGTATTGGAAGAAATCTCTTAGTGGCATAAAAAGGATAACATAGTGCCAGGCTCTGCACTTAACAGAACGTTCATTCATAAGCATATAGTTTAAAAAATATATACTATAGATCAAATTCTCTGCTTGTAGACACTGATGCAAAAAAAAAGTAACTTTACTGTATTAAAATGACTGGTGAAAGTGTTAAAATCAGCCATGCTGGCAAACTGAGGTGTATATTTTATTTGTTTCTTTCAGTACCTGTCATGTCAAATTTACTTGTATTGTGAGACAATGTGAAACAAAACAAAAGTTCTAAAAACTTATTATTTTTTCTTTCTTTCATTTTTTGGGTGTCATTCACTTACTGGAATGCCAGTGAAGGTAACTGGAGGTGACTGCCAAGAGATGCTAAAGCTACTGCCATTGGGAGTGAATTTTGCTGACCCTGGAATGTTCACTGGAGGAGTCGCCTGTGTGAAAAGAAAGTATTATTCCAGTAAGCAGAACCATTCCTCATCCAAAGCACTTCAAGGGATCTTTCAGTCCTTGAAATAGTAAATCTATGAGAGACTTTCTCAGGTGAAAAAAACTGTATGGTGACAAGCATTTTACCCTTATGGGATAATCATGGATAAGTCAGTAAGGAAGAGACATATTTATATACCACTGTTCTTAAAATCTTGTTCAGAGAAAAACAATAGCTCTCCCAAGAATCTACAAAAAAGCTAGATCTGATAAAACACCATAGAAAATCAAACACCATATGAAAAATAATGTTTAAAATAATTCCAGCTATCAGCAAGAAGTATTACAAATTATCACCTGCTCCACAATGATAAACAAGGAATATTTGAATTGATGGCAGCTGTTTAAACCACTGAAGACGGTTGGCAAGGCTTCCTGGACAATAGGGTTAACGATCATCAGTAAGGGTTGGTCATTTCTTGTTTATCAGATAAATGTTGTTAAGAATCATCCCAATTAAAACAGCCATTCCCATTAAAAACAAGGAGCTGAAAATAATCCTTGGGATTTAGAAAACAACTCTTAAAAGTCTAAGCTAAAGCAAGTATTTGAAGGACCCCTGGGCCCCTTGATCTCTTATGTTCTTCCCATCTGGGTGTAATCTAGCAGGAGTGTGAGCAGCCACCGCGAACGCAGGCTCCCTTTGACTCTTGAATTTCAAGATTTCACCACAAAAAAAGGCTCCTTAGTTTAAACTTACAAAGAATTTACTATTAAAAATTAGTTTTGACTTCTGCCTTTCAGTTGCCTGCTCCTGACAACAATGCAATACGCTTAGTGTTTGTGTTAAAGGCTGCTGAAGTTGTCTCACTGCTTCAGGGAAGAGAGCACTTCCCTGAGCTGCCAGGCAGAGAGAAGTGATGACAAACTACAACCTGATAGTCCCCATTAAAGATAATCTTCAGAGTAAACAAGCACTGAAGCAATCCTCTGGAGTCTCTCCAAGGAAAAGAAACTGAGACCACCGGAAGCCTCAGTCTTCAGCAGCGATCCTCTGCAGGCTGCTGAGCCTGCTGACAGCTCCAAGAGAATCCACGCAGAGACGCGGAGCAAATGTCTGCTGAGCTCCATAAAACACAAAAACCTCACTGAAAGGCATCAATAAAAGTTTGGCAACTCCAGATGGTACCAGCAGTGCTTCATCACAACCCTGTTCAAACAGAAAGGAGTGGATGACCA